TCTACTGAGCTATCTCTCTGGCCCCCTGGCAGTATAATCTTGATGTAGGTGATTAGCCTAGGTCACATGTCTGGTGTGGCACAGCAGCAAGCATTAAAGCATGAGGTTTTATAGCGAGTGCAGAAGCACTAGAGGTGTCCACCTGTGGATGGATGTACAGATGTGTGTACGTGCATGATGAAAGCTCTCCTTAGCCAGAAGTAAAGTCTAGCTACATGCAGCAATATGGGTGCACTGGAGGATATTAAGTGCAATAGGCAAACAGAGAAGCCAACCACTTGCTTCACTTTTACGGAAGCTAAGGAAGTTGATTTCATGGGTGCGGAGAGTAGAGCAGTGGTCAACAGGGGCCAGAAACAGAAGGCAGTAGGGAAGATAGAGGGAGGAGGGCAACAACACCAAAATCACTTGGAAAGAAGTTACTGGAGTTCCATGGCGGAATATGGTGACTGAAGCCTACAGCAATTTATTACATGTTTTGTAAAGAAGAAGGGGGGTTGAAGGTTCCCAACAACAACAAAATTATATGAGAAGCAAATGCTAATTACCCTGATTTGACATTAACTTCTATACATCTATTGAATTACCACACTGTACCCCATAAGTAAATACTACTATTACATGTCAATTTTCATTAAAAAGCATAGTGTTCGTGATAGTCTACTTTCATTTTTATTACTCCATGCACTTGGTTGGCCTTTTGAGCACTCAGAGCAGGTGCCAGGCATGGTGCACAGTGTGACAGCCCACCAAGTATTCTTTCCTCTCTGTGAGCTCAGTTACTGTGCGTGGAGCAAGCGCCCAGTGGCCAGTGTGCACTGCAAGCTCATTACACAAGTACAGTGGTTGGTACAGCCTGAAAGCTCCTCTGTGTCAGCACTTTCTCAGTCTGCTCGCGATCACAGCCCCACCAGTCGCAGCCAGTCCATACAGAAACTGGAGATGCCCCCATTTTCTTCCTACCCCTCTCATACCTCACATTCCTGTTCATTCCCCAGACTGAACAGTCTGTCAGATTCTGCCTTCTAACCTTGTCCATCTTGGTCCTCCCTGCCATGCTCCCCTGACCATTTGGCTCCTGCTAGTCCTTCTCTCTGCGCTGCGCCTTATGCTCCAGCCAGCCCTCGCTGCATACCTGCTCTCCTGTCACCGCACCCCTCCCCCCATGCTGCCATTCTACTTCCTGGAATAGTGTTGTCTTCTCTCCAGCCTGCCTAGCGAGTGAATGCAAAGTCGGCACAGTCTCCTGTGGGAAGCATTTTCTGCCCTAGAGAGAAGATAGCACTTGGGCCGGGGAGATGGCTCGGTGGAATAAGCGCTTCCTTGGCAAGTGCAAGGGCCTGAGTTCAATCCCCAGTTCCGCAAAAAAAAAAAAAAAAAGAAAAGAAAAAAAGATAGCACTCCTCTGCCCTCGTGTCATTCAGCAGCGTGCTGCTTTTCTTAGTCTTATTTCCCTGACCCTTTTGGTACAGTCACTGTTTGACAGGAACCAGTCTTCTGTGTGTTACAGATATGTTGTCCAAGGAGCCTCCTTGGTGTGATGGCTCCAACTGCTATGAATGCACTGCCAAATTCGGAGTTACAACTCGCAAGCATCACTGGTAAGACCTCTGTCTGCCATCACTTACCTCTAGAAGATGAGGGGACTCATGCTGATATCATGGCTTCCATGCTTTTCCATAACTTACCAGAGCCCTGTTCTCCAAGACAAAACTTTACCAAACAGGATGAGACAGCAAGACCGAGCAGGGCTAGCCACCATGTGTGCATATGTCACAATGGAGGTATAGGGATTGTGGGGAGCACTCAGGCTGGTGGGCTTCCTGACAGGTGCTGAGGGCCCAGATTCTGGGGACTCTCAGGTCCTGCGTCATCTGGCCTGGACAAAATCAAGAAGAGTCTCTGCTCTCATGGTGCACCTGAGTAGAGGCTGTTGTCCTCAGACCTGAGGAGCTATTCCCATGAAATAGGCCATTTGCTGAGCTGCTCTCTATTTTTAAATGAAGCCTTCAGCATTACTTTAGCTTCCTTACTGGAAAGAACTTTGTTTTCATATGGTAAGATGTAAACATGACTCGGTGGACCTTGGCTGCAGAGCTGGCCAGAGTGCTGGTTGTGAGTGGGCTCATCCTATGCTGGAGAGCAGTCTTCACTTTTTCCTTTCTTTGCTTTCACAGCCGCCACTGCGGACGTCTTCTTTGCCATAAATGCTCGACCAAGGAGATTCCCATTATAAAGTTTGATCTGAACAAGCCTGTGCGAGTTTGCAACATTTGCTTTGATGTTCTCACTCTGGGTGGGGTCTCTTAGTGGTTCAGGCCGCATCCCCAGTCATCTTCCCAGCAGCTGCTCTGCTTACCAGCCTGCCCCTCACCCAGAGCAGAAGCTGGCAGATGTCTTCCTGCACCAACAGACTGGAACATTTAAGGACCATGGTGTGATTCCATTTCAAATGATGCTGTGTGGTTGTGTCAGACTGTGATCAGTTTCACTAACATCTCACTAACTGGACCAGGCCATTTAGCCTAAGTGGTAAATGTGATAGGTGTTAGACCCATTCTGCTAACAACATACAAGGACACCTAGAAACCTTTTCCCTTCCAGTAGCTTAGTGTCCCATCTCAGAGCATTCATGCAGTCTCCCTGCTTCGGCTGACTCATGAGGCACAGCCTAGCAGAGTTGGAGGCGGGCTGCCTGATGGGAGTTGGCCTTATCCTAAGATAGTGGCTGTGGACTTTTCTGCAGTGTTTTCATACAGAGGATCTTCTTGCCCTTTTTTTTTTTTTTTTTTTTTTTTTTTAAGGTAAGCTGTATTTTTAGTGAGTTACCCCTTTTTAAAAGGTGAAATCTTTCTAAACAGGGTTCAAAGATGAGAGCTGAAAAATCGTGGCCTTAACAACTGAAAGCTTTACCAGTGTTCATGCTGCTGAGGTGTCAGGAGTGCAGGGTGGCAGCTTGACACCTAGTGGCTGTCTCATTCTCTCGTCTTGCTGCGTCCTGTCTGTGGAGTCCTCAATTACTCTGCCACTGGAGGTGGTGGGGGAAATGCACTTTTATTGTGCTGCACTTTTTATATAGCTGTGTTACTGGTGATTTCAATTTAAAAAATCCATATCAAAAATACCCTCACACATTCTGGCATCATTGATTCTCATGTTCGGCTTTGGCTTCACCTCAGCCTACACTACTGCTGAGTGTTTCTTGGTGCAAGAGATTAATACAGGCCAAGTAATGAGAAGGAAAATAAATATGACTTCAAGCCGAGGGGCATTTCCAGCTTGAAGCTTCAAGCTGATGGGTCCTATCTCCTCGACACTTCTGCTTCTTGCGGAAACCTTCCCTGGTTATGCTGTGAGTGCTGCTGGTCCCAGTTCTATGTAGCTTGCCCTGTCCATGAGGGCCAGCAGGCAAAGGGCCTGGCTAAGAGTGTGCAGCTGGTTTAGAAGGCTCTCAATTGGATGTTGAATGAGGCTCCTAAACCTGTTGGGCCTTAGTCGCTGCTAGTACATATATCAACCCTGAGGTATTAAACTCTGCTTTTCAAAGTTTGGCCAGTTTTCAAAATATGCATGTTGAAAGAGAAACTTATACCATTGCTTTTTTAAAAACACCCACCTCTGGGATGAACAACATGGGGTGAGTATACAGTTATACTCAGATTAATGGTATCAATCATACATACTGATTTTTCAGACATTTAATGACCACTACATTTTTTGCATTAATGAAATATAGATATATATGTAAAAGGGACTAATTTTTTTTTAATGCAACAGCCTGTTTTCTTTTTTGAATAGTGATATATATGTCTTACATGTTGCTGTAGTTTTATACATTCTCTTGCCTAAATATGTGTGTAAAATGTGCTGATAAACCGGAGTGCTACTTTTTAAAAATATTTCTGTGATTTATAAGATATATATACTTTCTATGTTAATATGAGCTTGTGCACAATGTTTGAAAAGAAAAAAACATTAGATGCGTTTCCCTGTCCCCCAGTCTGTGACATGTTTCATATGGAAGTTTTATAGAAAAACTCAATGAAGTCTTGTCAAATGACCATGTGAAGCATGTGGCCAGTTTGTTTTCTTTTGCCTGAAAAGGGTCATAAGAACATAGGGTTTAGTTAAGTAGCTTAATTCTTTAATTGAATTAAAGATAATTTTGATTCAGAGCTGAATTGAGATGGCCGGTACATACATTGTTTGAATGTTCAGTGGAGAGGGTAGGATAGGGTTCAGTCAGGGATGAGGCTGATCTGCCCTTGCCCTGCCACACCAGTTTCAGTAACAATCTTGTCTATTATTGCACTAAAATCTTAAGATCATGTTTAAAATATGTTGATTCAAGCTTCTGTTTCTTCAGAGAGTCCAGGTATAGCAATGGTACTGTCCAGCCATGGATTGGGGAAACATCTTTTGAGTTCTGCATTGGTACATGCATGTAGACAAAGAACAGGCATCTTTCCTACAGTCTTAGGAGAGCTCCCTGGCCACACTGATGCTCACAGGGCTGCACTCAGCAGGTTCCGTGGGGGGCAGCTGCCCCACAGGAGTCCAGCGTACACTGCCCTGGACCAGACACATTCTGTGCACACCCTGTGCTCCGCATGCTGTCATGATTTGACTACAAAACTGCCTAGCTGTTCTTACTGAATTTTAATCAGTGGCTTAAGTACTAATAGCAAAAACTTAATTTTATTCATTCTAAAAGTTTCCAGTGATGAATGAGTAGAGCAAGGAAAATAAATTGTACTGAAAGATAATTCTGTATCAGTCAGCACTGATTTTTAACTCCTTCTTGCTCATTGCCAGACTTACTACACACTTTTTTTTTTTTTAAGACAGAGGCACAAACCACGTGCTATATATAAATGAGATGGCTTAGGCTAATTGCTATGATCCTTTAAAACAGGTGTCCCACAAACTTAAGTGCCTACACTTAGGACTCTTCATTTTCAACTAACTTTTCAATGATGTCTCACTGGATGATATAATAGAACATGTGTTTCATTTGAGTTTTGTGCCTGTGCATTGTCGACCCCAATTACCAATTTAGTCAAGGCTGGATTAAACTGCTCAGTTCACCTGCCACATTCTCTCCAAGGAGTGGGTTCCGTGTGACGTTTAGTCCTCTACCTCAAAGCCCGAGTCATTTTGACCACCTGGATCAGCTTCCTCACTCTGCCCGCTGAGTGGGTCTCCTGCACGGACCCATTGGTCCCATCATTCTTTCTGATTCATGTTCCTCACATTGCATCAACCGTTCCTGCACGCACCCACTGCATGGGGCAGATGGAAGGTTTGGGAAGGGCAAGAACACTGTCCTCCATGTAGGTTTCCTTCACATGGAGAAAGACCACTTCTAGACTGTAATGCTTAGCCCTGGATGGCAAGCTGGCGGCCCAGGTGAGGGGCATGCACAAGTTAGTGTACACTTGTATCCCAAACACACTTGTTTCCCTCAGGCAAGCCCCAGAGGTGCCACCTGCAGCACCAGAGCTCCCCTCCAGCTGGAGAGAGGAGTGAGCAGAGAGGAAACAGCTTGCCAAAGCGTTTGGAAGCCACACTTTTAACTTTATGGAAGCAATTTTTAGTGAAGAGCTGAGGGTTGGATCAGATGTAAACTAAATTCCCAGAAGTTACAGATGCCTTAAAGACTTTCTTTGGAAGACTGTCACTTGTACATTTCTTTCATGTGGCATAAATACACTAACTTGTAACAACTGACAACATTGGTTTTCTGCACCTAGGGAGTCTTGAGACTGCTCAACTTACTGACTTGCTTTTTTGGCAGATGCGTAGAGTGGGCTGTTCTGTGACATCCCTTTGGTACCTTGGGCAAGGGCAACAGTTGGGCAAGAACTGCAGGCACGTATTTGGGTCAATAACCTTGGCTTCCAGACCATTAAGAGTGGCGCGCAGTGCGGGATGATGGCATCTTATGGGACCATGTGTTTATCAGCATTATTTCTTTGGAGTCTGTGTAATGGAATGTATTTTTCAAATATGTACTGATATTTGCATTTTCTGTAACAATTCCTTAATAAAATGAGGTAAAATTGTGCATTTAAAGTGGAAACTTTAATAATACATTTGCGGGCTGGAGAGATGGCTCAGTGGTCTAAAGCACCTACTTGGAACAAGCTTGGCAAAGCACAGGGACCGCGGTTCGATCCCCCAGCACCACATGC